AGCAGCAGGTGAGCAGCAGGTGAACAGCAGCAGGTAAGCAGCAACAAGTAGCAGCAAGCAGCAGCATGGAGCAGCAAGCAGCAGGCAAGCAGCAGGTGAGCAGCAGGTAAGCAGCAGGTGAGCAGCAGGTGAACAGCAGCAGGTAAGCAGCAACAAGTAGCAGCAAGCAGCAGCATGGAGCAGCAAGCAGCAGGCAAGCAGCAGGTGAGCAGCAGGCAAGCAGCAGGCAAGCAGCAGGCAAGCAGCAGGCAAGCAGCAGCAAGTAGCAGGCAAGCAGCAGGGAAGCAGCAGGCAAGCAGCAGGCAAGAAGCAGGCAAGCAGCAGGCAAGCAGCAGGCAAGCAGCGCCCCCTTGAAAGAATGATCAAATATTTTTTAAAAAAAAAATCAACGCCTTAAAAAAAAAATTGAACTTTTTCCAGGCGCACGGCCCCAAAACAATGAAATTGTTCAATTACTAAAAGTTGTGGTGATGCCAAACTTAAACTTTTTCCAGGCGCACGGCCTCCCGATATGACTTTTACAAGTTGATACGACTTAACGCTAGCGTTAGTAGGTCCAAAAACAGAAATCGAATTCAAAAACAATTAATTTAGCGGTCCAAAAAAAAATCCCTAAATCCAGCACAAATATATACATATCCAAAAAAAAAATCCCCATAGGGTCCAGAAAAAAAACACAAGCACAAATTCCCCCACATTTTTGTAACCCTAAATTCCCGAAAAATTCTGGTTAGATCCAAAAAAAGTGTCCAAGTCCAAAAAATATATATTCCAAATTATGTATTATTTAAAATTATTAAAATTAATTTATATGTTTTTTTTAAAGAAATAAATTTATTAATTAATATTTAATATAAATTTTATATATATTATTTAAATAATATTTAAATTAATATTAAATAATTATATATTATAAATTAAAAAATATTAATTATAATAATATATTAAATTTATAAATTAATTATATTTAATAATAATTTTTAGTATATTTAATATTTATCAATATTTAAATATGTATATAATTATTTATTGAATTTAATATGTTTTTTATCGATTATTTTCTTTTATCAAATTTCGGAAAAAAATCAAGGCAAAACAAGATTATATTAATTTTGTTGTTTATTTATTTAATTTTATATATTTTTCGGGTATTGAATAATCGAACCTATATATTCCTGAATTTTGATCTTTAAATTTTATAATTATTGATATTTAATTTTAGCCAACAAATAATTCGTTTTTCCCTTTTGAATTCAACCTTCCATATCCCCGCAATTGGATGTTTATCTTCATCTCTTCTGCTTGGACACGCTGCCTTCAGTGTTCTCTTTTGGAATTCTAATTTAATACTCCGCTGTTGGAAATCGTTCAAATAAATTATCACATCCAATTTCATATTAGGATTTTGACTAATTTAGAATCACCCTAATTCCGTGGCTGACTGGAATAACATATTATACATATTTTTAAAAACCCAAAATGGAACCCACAGTAAGCTACCAACATGTCACCTTTAAAGAATCAAGGGGGTCCAGGTGGGATTCCGGGTTCCAGGCGAACCAACAACAACAAAAAATCGAACAGCTTTTGGGACGCCCCGGGTGACTGCATGTGTTAAAGGAAAGTCCCAGGTAAGTAATTTAGATGTGTTTAGTTAATCATTATTTATCATTGAATAACTCTATGTGATCTATATTGATCTATATGATTGTCTCTTTTTCATTTTGGATCTACGTCAAAGTCAAAATCAATTTCGTTTCAAACGTCTTTCAGGCTTCAGCTTTGTGAAGCCATGGCAAGTTGTCGAAGCTGATTCTGATCTGGCCGCCTCTCCGAGGCACAATTGGATTCGTTGGTACGCCATTGACCTGCGAGGTCAACGTCTCGTATGACAAAGATTGACATGGCGTGTGAATGGATCAACCTCAATATCTCGTATGACACTGGAGTAATAGATCTGAGTGAGAGAAGATTATAGACAAAACATGACCAAACACATGACTCGACAAAGAACTGATGTAACATCTGCAAACATCTTTTAACATGTCTATCATGATTATCATGTGACTACTACCCTGTAACTTTGGCAGCTGGTTGCAAGTGCCAGAATCCATTTAAATTCACATTGAATGAGGCCACTCCGGGCCTTCTTGTCAATGCAGCCGACTCCATGCTCCCACCAATACCCGTGGCTAGCTTTTTGATCCTTTTGCTGGCCACAGCTGTATACGTTTGCACGACTGCCAACGTTGGGATCAGACAGCACGTCTGAACAATCCTTGGATTTCTTCAGTCGTCTCCGGCCCTCAACTTGCAACAAGCATGAAAAAGCAAATGATCAAATGTCCCTTTCCTTCCTATTGCGCACTTCACAGGGTGGCGAGTTGCTTGATTTGGTTGATCCTTCCCACCATAGCCACAGGATCCATCTGTGCACTGCCACTCCTCAGTTGAGTTGTCAATATGTTGCAAGATGTAATGCACCAGCCTGCATTCTGCACTGTATTCCTGTCATGGACATGTCAGCTCAGAATCGTCCATGGCCCAGCAATACGTCTGCGCTTGATTTGCGTAAAGCCATCCGCAGTAGCTCTCGTCGCTCAAATAGCTTTGGGCATACCACTGACGACACCTGTGCTGACCTGACATGTTACAAATCGGTGTACATAGACCACAGCAGAACTATGCGGCACCTACGGACGCACTGCGAATTTGTGGGTGAACTGCTTTTAAAGGTATCAGACCCAAGGCTATATGTCCAAACCAAAGCTTATCTCGACATGATGGGAAGGTAACAAACGTAAGAAATTATATTGACATATTACAATATTATTATTATTATCCTTATTATTATTATCATTATTATCATTATTATTATCATCATTAGTATCCTTATTATCATCATTGTTATCATCATTATTACTATATTTTTGTTGCTATTACCGTTATGTTATTATTATTATTGCTGCTATGTACTTGCAGATGAACAAAGAAATTGAACCCTGGCCTGGACTCGAACGGTCCAAGCATGTCCAAAAATTTTGTCGCTAAGAAGTGAAACACAGCCACATCAAATGGCATGAACAATCTTGAAACAATATATACATATATACATATATATATATATAACTTATATCTATATAATATATACCAATACTATATTGCTATTATCTACCGTTTTTGGCCATGTCACCACAAGCATTGTCTGCTAGGGATGAAGGGCAGCCAGTGAAGCAAGCGTCGTTGTTGCAGCTTGCACTGGAGGGTGAGAAGCTTGGGCAGTCACATGTGCCATAGTGATGCCTCCGCTGCAAAGACTGCCAGTGCAAGGTTTCTGCAAATTTCCCAGTATCTACGGGACATTATGGGACATGTATTCGATGTATTGAAATGGTTTGAATCCGGCTTGAACTGAGCTCCAAATCCGGCAACAAGTCTCTGGCCGCCCCAAGGTCTCAGTCGAGGCACTTGTCAGCCAGGACCGTGGGAAAGCCAGCTCCAGGTGCCTTGGAGATGACGAGCTTGTTGCCTGGAGCAACTGTGCATGGACCAAGATGTTTACATCGGCAAATTTCTGGTTTTTTCATGGTTTGTCCAAAAATGGAGGACATCCAGTGGACATCCAGGACATCCCAAAATTGCAATTCAAGATTCAATCATCTTAATAGGGAAAACATGGGAAAACATGCGAAGACCTTGACAAACAACTGGATTTGAGGGGTATCCCGTGTTCAAAAAAAAACGGATTTGCGAATGCCCCAGGTGCACTCGGGGCTGCAACACAAACATTGAAAGATATTGAAATACACCAAGGTCACGACCAACATCTTTGATTGGGGCTTTTAGATGCGCTTAATGCATTTTAATATATCTTAATGCCATTGTTGCTTGGGTCGATGTACTATTAGGATCTAGTATGATCTAGGGCGGTTGTTGCTTGGGTCAAATTAGAGAATCACGACACCATACGACGACACCTCTCAACTCACAAAACCATGGGCCCCATATGGCCCCATGGGCCTTTGAACTTCGGAGGTATCGCGACCACGTTCTCACTCTTTCCATCCTGATCCGTGTAGTTCATGGTGAGGCCACCGGAGACACCCTCGACGGAGGTCAGGTCCCATGAAACCACAGTGGTGATGGTAAACTCCACTTGGCTCTGGTACATAGGACCCTTGCACAACCTTGTTGCGGAACAGCAGCAAGATACTGGGCTTCAGAAGCGACGCGACCTATATCAAACATATTTGAACATTATCAAACGTTGCTGTTGCACTCTGGAGCCCCTAACTTGTTTCACGTATTTTCACGTACTGGGTTGGAAGTCCAAGACACGACTGAACCTTGTTGGATGCGGCATCTTGATACCAACAAGTACCAGATGGCCAGTTAGATGCAGGTGGGAAGTAAAGATCGATCCTGGGCAGGACATGCTCGGACGATCGGAAGAGCACAAGCCATCATAAAAAGTGCCGCAACCAACACGAATCAATTAAAGGGTCTAGATTCAATTAGGGGCTCCCTCAAATTACAAAAATGTAAATGTTATGCACAAATATGCACAAATAATATATGCACCTCTCTGCCTGACCCATCTTGTCACCATTCTATGCAGCTTTGTAGGAATCAATCGGACGCTTCCCTTCGTTTTAGCTGAGCTTCGACTCGCCTTTCTTGAGGCCAATGCACAATGTGGTGAGGTCTGGAACCTAGTAGTTGCCGATCAAACGCTCAAACTCGCGCAGTAGAGCGCTAAATGCAAGCAAAGCAACCCGAAATCTGGGGGGACAGTGCGGGGACAGGTGGACACATATTACTAAGACTCTACTAGAAATATTTCCAGGAAACATCCGCTCCTCTGTGCCAAACTTCACTGCCGTCCAGTAACACCAGCTCCCCATGTCTGTGCGGCAGCTGAGTTTTCATTGGAGCAATCCACCGGAGACCCGACCACACTTTCAGTTCTCTGGGCATCGAGGAAAACGCCGCCTGACATGTGGGAGTCATCCAGTCATCCCCTCATTGTAGAATCCACTGAATCAAATTACATCAAATGATTTGTGCTTTCCTGAGATTCTGTCCATGTTGGTTTTAGAATGTCTTAGAAGGCTTTGAACACACATAACTCATCGTGCCGTTCCTTCCAACTTACGCACATGGGGGATTTTAGCGGAACACAAGGCCATATGGAACTGCCCGGTCTAGCCAAATGAGTTCAGGACTAAGGAAACACTAAGTCACAGTCCAACCGCGCGAGCCATATCATTTTGTGGGCTTTGGATGGCGTTAGGACTTGTTGTGCCCATATTGTGTACACAGCTACGCCATGCTACGCCGTGCAGGTGATATGTTTAATATGTGCTGAGGCTGCTGAGTAGACTGTAATAATGTTTGGAGAGAATACAATGTCGTGAATCCGACTTTATGCAATCAAGTCTCGTAGATCGTTGGGCGGGCCACGACAAAAGACTACGCCATCCGAAAACTCTCGATTGACCAAGTGCATCACCAACGCGTCTATGACCTCTGACTCTCAACGCAGTAGCAGTAGCAATTCCAAGGAATTCATCTTTGCATATCACTACCGAAAGTTTTAACATTTTTTGTTTTAAGGTGACAGCCAGTGCAACCCTGCAACATTTCTAGGATTTTCACATGTTTTCCCACCATTGTCCCATGATGTCCCATGTTTTCCCACTGTTTTCATATTTAAAAAACGGCAGATTAGCTGCAATCAGGTCACTGGCGGCGCTGGCGGCGCTGGCGGTGCTGGCGGTGCAGGTGGCGGAGGTGGAGCTGGTGCTGGACCCGGCAGGCAATTCTCGACTTTATCCGGCGATCCGCCTCAGGGTCAGTCGAACAGAATGGAACAGAGCAACAAGATGCAACAAGAATGATCAGAATTGATGTAAACACGTAAACACCAAAAGGAACACATATAGTATATAGTGTGATGATGTGTGATGGAATTGCAAAGAAACAACTGAGCCGAGCCGATACAAACTAATCTCCAGATATCTCCAGATGTTCGATTCCAAGTCTATCATCTTCTGTGACGGCATCATACAGCATCACCTTAATTAATCACCAAGACGCACTCATGGAAATCTGGCGCCGCTGACGGACAGGGAAATGAACTTCCACTCGAAGGAGGACAGCACTGGTTTCCTGCCTTAGTGCGAAGCCAAAATGCGACGACAGGTCGAACTGTCGCGACTCATCATGTGATCCTGACATGCCCTGATTCTGCAAGACTTGATACTGTGAACTACTCTAAAACAGTTGTCTTAGTAATATCTACTTGACATCAGAAAACAAGCAAAGAGTAAATGCAATGCTAAATGCCATGAAACCAAAGAGCAACGGCAAACATCATGTAAGTCATCCTAAGTCCAACACGCATGGAGTGCCAGAGCCAGGACATATTGCCTGAGTGCAAACAAGAGACGTGAAAGATACCCCTTTCAATCTTGGCTCAAGCAATAAAACGCCTTTGATGTAATCTACCATTTCAAGATACTTCAAGTATAGAATTCTAATGAATTCTATATAGATGCCTGTACGTGCGCCGAATAAGCTTTCTCCTGCTTATGCACAGAATCTGGTAGGCTGGAAAACTTTGGGCTTTTTGGGTTGAGACAAGTTCGGTCACTTGAAGTCAAACTGGTCTGCTGACTCTCAGTTTCAACTCAGTCTGCACGTTGCTACTGTACCAGGCAGTCATGTTGCTGGCCCACCAACAGAACAGGTTCCAGCCGATAACAGTCTCGACCGGCCACTTGCTTGAAGCAAAGAGCTGGACTCGCATGAATCTCAGTCAGAGCTTCGCAAAATTATAAGACCATCTAAAACCAAGAGGTCGGACAACTTGTCAGGTTGACTTTGTTGACTTTCCAATTTGTGTGGTAGGTGTGCTGAGGGATAGCAGAAAGCCCTACAAGTCTACCCATCTTGCGCAGGCTAACACACTCAGGGACTGCATATCTACTGCTTGTTCAAGGAACCGTTGTCATCGCAGACAGTAGCTCCCTTCGCTTGGCTGACGGCCCCAACGACTGCGCCAAATAAATACCTTAGCAAAATAGCAAACCTTTTGAAGAATCTCATCAAACGCATAACAAACCTATATGTCGTGCGAGCAACCGAGGCTAGGGAAAATCCAGGGAAAATGTGGAAAGAAATAGTCAGCTGAGTGCATGCGGACCAAAGTACCAACGCAAAGCGGCCATACTCGGCCTAGGCTCAGTCAACATCCGAGGTCCTTTTAAAACCTTTTGACTGCAGTTCTGAACTTGAGCCGCCGAGCCCAGCGGTTCAAATGGATGTTCGGTTTATATAAGAGTATCTACAAGTGCCCAGACTGCGCTTGAGCCGCAATGGAAACAACATGTGTTTTTTACTCTTTTTCCTGGTTCTTCCGAGCTTCTCGCAGCTCTCCTATCATCCCATGTCATGGACTGTCACGGTGAATCACACTGCATGTCCCTTTAGCTTGTATGATCTTTTACGCACAACCTTGCAACACGTCATCCCTGGACTCGGACACGTGCCCAAGAATGAAATTCAGTGCCATAATTACTGTGGAAGTAAAGACAATGGACTCAAATCCCAGACTTTCAAAGCCCAAACCCCTTGAAATCCTTGAAAGGCAAAGTCTATGTATGTCTATAGTATAAACCCAATGAAGTGCAACATAAATGCTGCATGCAGCTCAAGGGGGACTGAAGTTATTTCCAAAATCTGACGACCAAGCCAACAAAAGAGTCCCAATATTTTCTCCTTGGCAACCTCCTGGCTTCGGACATAAACAGACATAACATGTCACACCTGTTTATCAAAGGTAGGGACGTAGATATCGTAACCCTACCGGGATACAATACATACGTTGTGTAGCAGTGAATGATCTGCCTTTTCATACATACAATGGGATTGCGTCATTCAAAGTAGACCTTGCCATAAGAATGATTTCAGCTGTCTGCTGATTGGACGCACGCTGTTTCTATCTTTTTGACACAGGTGTCTCGACATAGTTCACACTATAGAAGCGTGCCGACACCTCAGCAGAAAAGATCATAAATCCACGCGTCAAAAACACCAAGCGTAACAAGTAGTATGTATACTCAAGTTCTGGGCACAAACATTGGCTGGATCAATTACCCGTCTGCATCAAGACCCTCACAGCAAGAGCAACAGCTGCATGAAAATGGTGGGTGCAACATGGTGCAACATGGTGCAACATGGTGCAACAAATCAAACACTTGTCGGGAGGGTTCATACCAGCTCTCAACCAAGCTTGTTCTGAGGTACTGACGCTGCGGGCGAACCTGGGCACATTCAGCTTGGAGATGCTTGGAGCTTTGGGGAACGATTCGAATGAGTCAGATTGAACGGGAACTTTGGATAACTTTGGATAATTTTGACATATGTTGGCTTGATTTGCTATCTTTTCACACAATTGTGATAAGATGTGATAAGTCAGTGGCCTGGGAGATCATTCAGAACTTGACTTGCTTGCAGGCCTGGGAGTTCATGAGCACAGTACGAGAGTACAGCACACAATTCATACATCTGGAGATCATCTAAATCTAGATCATTCTAGATCATTATAATATGAACCCGGGGGCCAGACCCATGTGCTCTAGCCTCTTCTGAAGACTCTGATTCTGGTCCAGCTGCTGTCGGTATTTTTCCTTCCAGAACTGCAGGTATTGAATGGTATTGACAGTATTGATAAGTATTGTGCGATATTGTGTGGCTTTTTCTTCAGAGAATACTGTCCTGGCCACTACGTAAGCCGTTTGGATGGCATCCTTTCACTTTTTCGTACTGACCATCATGGCCATGAAGTGTCAGCAACCCATGTCCTGGGCAGAGGAAACGTCCACCTGCTTGCAAGCACTCTGAATTTAAGTTGTTAGCGCCCGGCACCCTTAACCGGTTGGCGTTCGTCCTAAATCACCAGAAAGCTGCAGTGATGAAAATCCTGCCTGCATCTGCTTAAGCACAGAGAGGGCATCCGACTTCCACCTTTGGAGTGGCTATTGAACGAGAGGAGTCTCGACTCATTGCACAGGAATGGTCCGGAATGTTCCATAGATCCTGTATCGCACATCTCTTGGAAAGCGCCAACACGCTTGGCAAATCTCAACCTATCTTATATGACGTGAACTCAAAAGAATATCACCACTAGTGCCAAAGCACAAGGCATTTCAAATGCCTTTTGCAAAATCTTACCACGCAGAACTATTGGCTTGTCCATCTTTTCCTGCCGAATGCCTTTGGAGCATCTCCAATTCTCGGTGCATACGTAAAGTGCTTGCAGACCAGGTTTCTTGCCTCACATCAAAAAGTCACAAAGTCTGTTCCGCGTTTGCCTTTGTTGAGTCCGTGCTGATGTCTGTTGTGAAACATTGAATTTCATAGGATATCCATAGAACAAATGCAGGGGATATGGGTGATCTTTGTGATTCTTCATGTGCATCTTTTCCCGGCTGTTTGAATAGGTTTCCAAGGTTCCATCGGATTCCATCGGCATCAAATATTCTTCGAATTCCGCGTCCGTTACAACATGTTACAACTCTGCGCTTCTCCGAATTCAAAGGCTCAGCTTCGGTCAACTCGTTGCTTGGCCAAGACGACGTGACTTTGGTCGATTTGGCTTTTGCCTCGAGGTGTCTGGGTGTCTTTGAGTTTGCAAAACGATTGAACTTACATGTAGTAGTCAAAAAGGAGCAACATATTTCCGTTTCGAAGTGTTGTGAGATGTCATGAGTCATGACATGGCATCATAAGAATCAAGTACGCCGTACGCCAGTGATGAATTCGTGCTTGAGCTTTGCATATTCATCCAAGAAACACTTCGAGAGCGACGGACCTAAGACTTAGTGGCACAGCTGGTGCAAACCAAGAACAGGATATTCGAGACTGACATATGATGCAAGAGTTGAGATAAGAATAGACAACATCCGTTTCGAAGTTTCTGCTTAATCAATGTCTTCAAAATCTGCTTGCATTGAAAGTCTCCCCTCTATACATGTGCATTAATTTTCAGTCAAAAGCAACAGGTTCAAGCGACTTTGGCATACAACAGCATTCCTGTCAATCTTGATAGCTATCAGCCACTAGGGGTCTGGCAGGCTTTGCTTGGAGGGGCACACCTGAATGGAATCTGTTCCACGCTTGGAATCCATAATGGTTTTCATAATAGGTTTGGAAGCAGCACACCTGAGTTACTTCGACTTACCTCTTATCAAAGCATATCTTGATGTCACGGTGTTTGAACATATATTACGATATTATGTGTTAATACCAGTAGTACCGCACAAGGCGGTGGCGGAAGTTTCAAAAATAGGAAACCTATAGGAGAGATTGGTTGTTGTGAATCAGGGATGGCAGAGCGAAGCCACTGATGGACCGAAAAGTGCTTGAGGTCTCCTCTCTTTCTCTCTCTTTCTCTGACTATCTACCTACCTACCAACCTATCTTCTATGTATCTATCTATCTATCGATCTATCTCTCTCTCTCTCTTTCATCTAATTACCTATCTATCTATCTATCTATCTCTCTCTCTCTCTCTTTCATCTGTCTATCTGTCTATCTGTCTATCTGTCTATCTGTCTATCTATCTATCTGTCTATCTGTCTACCTGTCTACCTGTCTATCTGTGGTGCAGCGTCATTCAGTGTAATGTAGTGTAGTGTAGTGGAGTGTGGTGTAGTGGGGTGTAGTGGAATGTAGCGTAGTGTAGTGTAATGTAGTGTAGTGGAATGTAGTGTAGTGTAGTGGAGTGTAGTTGCGTAGTCGTAGTTATATTTGTAGTGGAGTGTAGTGTAGTGTAATGTAGTGAAGTGTAGCGCAAGGTAGTGTAGTGTAGTGTAATGTAGTGTAGTGTAGTGGAGTGTAGTGTAGTGTAATGTAGTGTAGTGTAATTTAGTGTAGTGTAGTGGAGTGTATTGTAGTGGAGTGTAGTTGTGTAGTTGTAGTTGTAGTTGTAGTGTAGTGGAGTGTAATGTAGTGTAATGTAGTGAAGTGTACTGGAAGGTAGTGTAGTGTAGTGTAATGTAGTGTAGTGTAGTGGAGTGTAGTGGAGCGTAGTGGAGTGTAGTTGTGTAGTTGTAGTTGTAGTGTTGTGTAGTGTAGTGGAGTGTATTGTAGTGTAATGTCCTGTAGTGTAGTGTATTGAAGCGAAGCAACACCTGAACCTCCAAAAGTGGTCCGAACCCCTAGTGTTTCGAACATGTTTGCTTCGAAATGTCCTTCGCGCCACAACGGCGTGCACTTTTTCGACATCCGAACCTCCAAAAGTGGCGCGAACATGTGGTGCTTTGTACATTTTGACTTGGAAATGTGCTTCGCGCCACAACGGCGTGCACTTTTTCGACATCCGAACTTCCAAAAGCGGTCCGAGAATGGTGTGTTTTGTACATTTTGACTTGGAAATGTGCTTCGCGCCAGAACGGCGTGCACTTTTTCGACATCCGAACTTCCAAAAGCGGTCCGAGAATGGTGTGTTTTGTACATTTTGACTTCGAAATGTGCTTCGCGCCACAACGGCGTGCACTTTTCCGACATCTCAACTTCCAAAAGTGGTCCGACGCTGGTGTGCTTTGTGCATTTTGATTTCGAAATGTGCTTCGCGCCACAACGGCGTGCACTTTTTCGACATCGCAACTTCCAAAAGTGGTCCGAACCCCTGGTGCTTTTAACATTTTGACTTCCAAATGTGCTTCGCGCCACAACGGCGTGCAACTTTTCATCTCTCATCTGGCCAGCTGGCTCCGCACCCGCCGCTTTAGCGAGCCTACTTTTCGACCCTCCGGAGCCCCAAATCATTGGAAAAACACAGTGTTTCGCGACTTTCCTACCTTTTCGCGCATCTCCATCTTCTTTCTTCTTACTCTTTCTCTTCTACTCTTCTTTCTTCTGATCTTTCTCTTCTCCCTGCCTCTTCCCTGCACTGCTTTTCATCTGTCCATACTGTCGGAAGTTTAACTTCTAAACTTCCTTCGATTATATAGATTATATTAGATTATTATAGCATTATTCAAATTCAGACTCTGACAGTATTACATAATAATATTACCCCTAATTTGTCAAGCAGCAAGCAGCAGCGAACCTGCTGCTGCTGCAGAAGATTGAGCAGCTGTAAGTTCTCGGGCCTTTTAGCTCGAGAAAGTCTGCATGATGAAACAGTTAAATTTGGCGGGATAGTGGAATTGCACCCAGAAAGTCTGAGCAGAGTCTTAGTGCAATGTAAACAAGGATGAATGAACCAGGAAGGTCTGTGTCTGTACTGTCTCATATCTCCGTTTCAAAAACTTGCCATATCTCCAAGATAATATCTTGCCATAGGCTCCCAGCAAGTTCCAGCCCTTGTCGCCGTTCTTCGCCTAGCTGACGTAGCAAAGCTCCCAGTCTCTGCTCAGCCTGTCGCAGTGACTTGGACCATGCAGTGACTATGACGACTATGTACAGCAAATATAAAGCATGGTAAAGATATGAAAAGATATGAAAAGATATGAAAAGATATGAAAAGATATGAAAAGATATGAAAAGGATTGAAAAGGGTTTGATGACTGGCGTACAACTACTGTCCACCACGAAGAAGTAAGGCAGAATGCATTGAAAAAAATGGGAATGCTATGGGAATACATGGGAATACTTACAGAATGACAATGTCCGATGTCTGATTCCAAAAGCGTTGCCGCATTGCCTCCGCGACTTCCTCTCTTGCTCTCTTGCAGCGCTCAGCAGCTGCTGCACGAGCTCGACAAAGAGAGTTCTCACGAGCTTCCGCATTGCAAAAATGTGCAAAACACAAAACTGAAACAAACACAAAGCATACAAAGCGTTGACCAAAATGCTGCAAAATGGTGCAAAACGGTGCAAAATGGTACAACATGGTGCAAAATGCATGTGCTTCTGGAAGCGGCCACGAAGGAAGATTCAATGTTTATGGGTACATTGGGCATTTCTATGCATTACATTGCATTGCTATGATTGCATATGTTTGCGTTGGGCTGCAATCAAATCATGGATTGCGGCACTCCTCCTGTGCATTCTCGCTCTCCCTGGGCAGCACGCACATCCGTTGACAGGTCAGCAAGAGATGCGAATGCACGAGTGCACATACGAGTAGGAATGATGGCCAATGTGTTTACTCACACCCTAGTTACCTTCCGATCCTACTTTTCTGAGCCGTGCCCTTGCCAAACACACTTTTATGACATATTCGCACTGAAGACTTTTATAGAAGAGATTTCTTGGCTGAATCTTTCAAACAGATCAAGTTTGAAATTCCGACCTTCTGGCTTGGGCTTTCTGCAATTCCTGTCCAGGTTTGCAAAGGCATGATGTTGCACCATGTTGCACTATCTTGCACCACTCAGCATGGTGGAGCTCCCTCTATGTGTTTGCAAATCAGTCTTGCTGGTCTTCTTGCTGCAAAATGTCCTCCAGCGATGCCAGGGCCTTTGAACGCCTCTGGGAAAGATCTTTGGCCTGCAACTCTACTGCAAATGATTTCTATTGAAAGTGTTCTGTGTATTCAATTCTAGGCAACACAGAAGAAAGCTTCAGTCTTAATCTAAGTCAGGCAGAGTTGAAAATTGATATCCTATCACAACATGTGACAAGTTGCCTCTGAGGAAAGCCCCTCAGCCACAGATTCAAGTCGTTTCACCTGCAGCCATGTGTAGCAGTATTAAGTAAGCCGTGCCTTGACATTCATGAGGACCGGCACTCGAAGTCCATGAAATAATCACAATCAAATGCACAAGTGGCATCAGGGAATCTATCAGTCTACCACTTCTATCACAAACGAATTATGAAGGATCGTGAAGGCGCATTGAAAATACAGCAAACACTAGCTGAAACTTGCGAGCAGTATCCTGCACAGCAAAACATGTTTCAAAGAGAGTATGTTCGTACTATGCTTGATCTATGCCAAGATCACAATTCCCGGCTTCAAATACGGGCCTCCTCCCGTTGCTGCAGGCTGGACTGATCAGAAGCATGCAGTTCCCCCCGGATGATATCGCAAGATGTTACTGTAGAGTTTCAAGAATCTGCTGGTATCCTGCTCAAGCTCCGATGGAAGGGTTTCATTGGCCTGATATTCCTGAGCTGCAATTTCATCCCTTGCAGCTTCAAGCACCTCAGTCACGAAAACAGGCTAGAGATGGCTAGAGGAGAATTCCCAAGGATGGGGTAAACAAGCAAACAGCTGCAGAAATGCCCGGCGTTTGGAAACCTTCTCACTTTCACTGTTACAGAAATCTCTCCACATCACGGAAAGAATATGAAAGAATACTAAGGGTCTACAGTACATTTCAGTTTGCCAAGATCTGGTTGGCAGCAGAAAACCTTGATTTGAAGCAAGGGTTGCCAGGAACGGCTAGCCTCCAGCTGTGCACGTAGACCAAGGCTTTGAGTCCGAGTTTCTGCAACTTCCTCAGGCCGCTAGGCCATTTGAGCGTTGGCTATGACATTTCTTGTCGACATTTATGTCTCCGGGTCGTTCCAAGAAATACAGCAAGAAGGAAGCTTCTCATAACACAAAGAGCATGAGGTTGAGGTATCAAAATCGCTTTCCGCTGAATGTGCAACTGATATGTCTACCGTTCTGCACAGTTGAAATTCCAGGAGCCACGCAGCTTCCGCATCAGCAAGTGCCAAAGAAGAGTTGCGAAGAGAAACCTCCAAGCCCCGACCTCAGGAGGCCAGGGAAAGCTTGATTTTTGAGGGCCAAGAGCTCCTACCGATGGATCTGGTGAGTGAAAGACCAACTGACCAACGATTTTTTGAGACTTCTTTGTCGTAAAATGATGTAAAATGGAAATGTACTTTGTGCCTGTCTTTTTGCGATTCAGGTGTTACCATCAATGTGAGAACATTGTGGCTGGCTTTGACTTTGGGCAAAATACTGTGTGTGCTTGCTTATCTTTCCTAGAGAATACCTCCAGAAAACTTCAGAATGCGTTCGCGCAAATATCACCACCGGCGCCAGCCGAAAATAACAAAACCACCCAAAACCTTCTCAATTTTCTTGATTACATTCTAAATGTCAAGGCAACCTATCAAGGCAATTTGCCAGTAAAGCTGAATCAAGGGGCACCTGAAATTCTCATTGACGACTCATTGCAAGACAAGGTGTCATGGCATAAGTCGCTACAACTGCAACATGCTGAAATGACTACCGAAATGCTAAGGGCCTTTGAAGCACGCGTGAACCCAGCGCAAATGTCTGGGGTGCTGGACGTCGGTTCGCCAAAGACTCCAGTTCAGCAGCGAACTCCTACTCTGCAGTGGGAGACATAAATCATAAATTATCTGCAAGTCGGAAATACAAGACAAGGAGACAGCGAAAGACAGAACAATGGAAAAGGATGGAAAAGGCATGGAAATCACAGTGTTGAGAGATAATTATGATTATATAACTTTCTTTGCTGGTCTGATTAGTCTGATTAGTCTGATTGTTCCAAAAAACCAGCAGTTTGTGGAAACCAATTTCGAAATCTGAGTTTTCTCAGCTCATGGCCATCTCGCCGGCTCGCATCTGTGCCTGGCACTCGGAGAGTTCAGCTTCTGCAGCCCGGCAGCCTGAAGCAAAAAGCTGCACGGCGCTGGACCGATTTGATATCGTAGAATGAGCTTTAAAAAAAGCATTTAGAAGGGTATGGCTATGGATGGCTATGGCTATGGCAGGGTAGCCAGTCTTTTCTTCCCCAAAGAACACAATCACCATCAATCACCAAAAAAAAATGGACTTGGGACCTGAGATACTGGTTGGTACAAAGGAGCAGCTTAAGCGGCCTTGCTGCTCTGCCACTATGCCTCAGCTGTTCTTACAGTTCTTTGTGCTTTCCACAGCAGCTATGACATCGAGATCGTAAAGTTGAAACACCATTCCATGAGGCCCAAAACTCACAAAGCCAAGGTGCGGCTTCTAGTTGCAGTAAGTTCCTTCCTGATAGCCTCGCCAAAAAAATGAAAGGTCAAGGATGGTCACAGGATGTCACAGGATGGTCACGGCAACCTGGTGCTTCACAAAGTCGACCAAACCTCGTTGGCCGCAGCAAGACCATCATATTCGACTCGAAGCTCAGCCTCGATCCAAAACTCGGAGGAGTTTTTGAACAAACTGGACAAGCTGAGAAGATCTGAGAAGATCTGAGAAGATCTGAGAAGATCTGAGAAGATCTGAGAAGATCTGAGAAGATCTGAGAAGATCTGAGAAGTAACGATGAAAGATCATGAAAAATCAAAGTTTCAGCAAGAATTGGCCTCGGACGAGAAAGCAACAAGTAACAAGACTTTGCATCTTGGGCTCGCACATACTCGCGCTCGTTCGCTCGAATGCGTTGGCTCCTCATGCAACGCAATGTCTTGAGCGAGTTCAAAATACAATTTGCAGAAAAAGGATCAAGAAAAAAATATCCTCGTTGTCAAAGCACCATCAAGATCTTCCAATTTCTCTTGCGCCTAGCAAAAGGCGGGGAGAGCCAGGATGGGATTGTCAAATTCTCACCTCTTGCAACCACAAGCCTCGCGCAATTGCTGTCGCAAGAGATCAGCTTCATCTGGGCATGGTGGCAAGTTTGAGCTCCGAAGCAGGGATTAACCAATCCATGACATCAGTCAAAGGTTTTGAGAAAGTTGATGGAAGTCTCAAAACCCTACACTTACTATATCATGTACTGCGTGCTGCATACAGTTAGACTAGACTGACTTGACGAGACTAGACTATACTCTACTACGATACTAAAACTATACGTACTAGATGGATAGGTCATAGGTTTCTGTACATTGCCCCTGCTCTCGACTAACCCCGAATACCAGGCCTCTAGGTTTGGAAAACATCGAGAGACCGTGCTAAGATTCCGCACTGGCTGAATCTTGGGCTGCATGTGATGCCATTAGCTTCCGCTGCCTTTCCTGAGTGAAGAGTCTGCACTGGCTGCAACTGCCTCACTCAGATTCCCTCAACAGTTGTCTGCACTTCAATGTCTTTCATCTGTCCATTTTTGTGGATGACAATGGATGGCATGTTTCACTATGTTTCAATAAATATATATAATATACGTATATATCATCAATTTTGATCATATTCCTCGGTTTATTGCACCCATGGTGTGACCTCTTTAGATGTTCAGTACATGTTCTGGGTCGCCGCACCAGGTCCTCAGTAGCTCTTTGTAGCGCTGCCTCCGCCGTGGAACGGCGCTGTTGTGCCTCTCCAACAGTCAGAGACGTGCAGCTCGCAGTGGGATAAATTTATGTATGTTTTCCATTTTTTTCCTTGGGTATTCTTCGGATCAATATTCGCGGAAGAGTATTTCAGAATTTCAATCTATGCAAAAAAAGAAACGCGGTTGAAAGACTTGACTTGCAGGATTTTGAATTCCAGGGGCTGATCTGCTTTCCTTTGCAAGGCTGAGGGCTTAGCGGCACAACGTGCAAGTTCCGTAGCTTGCAGTCTTTGTTGCAAGTCATCCCGCTCCTTGTGCAAGTGGAGGAGGAGCAACTTACGTGATGCTGAAGCCTTGTTGAAGACTGGAAAAAGATCATAGAATGTACAGAGATGCATAGACTGTGTAGAGTAAGAGATCAAACATATTCAAAGGACATAGTCACGGACGTTTTCAATGTTCATCAAACATCAGTGGGTTTTTAAGAACAGACTGTTAGGATCTGTTAGGATATCAATTCTGCTGGTTGGCAAGCCACAGAAGTGCCCTTCAGAGTTTAACAACATCAACTATCAAGCACTGTCCCCTAATACAAGAACCCTTACAGAGGTCCCGTAGCATTGCTGCCAGCGCAGCAGCAGAGATTGGGGCTGGTGTGCCTAGACTGCAAAACCGCAAGTTTGCAAGCTATATCAGATCATGTACTGCCACATTCTTGACACTTCTCTGCCTGAGCTTCCACAGTCATCTTTGTAGGAGGCAATGCCCTATATCTTGTAAACCATTGTAAACCTTTGTATGGTGATATGGGTATGGGTCAATACCTATTAATACCATTTTTAGGGGAATGACCATCCATAAATCCCAGCTATTTTGATGTTCACCAGGGGGATAGGGTTTTGACCCATCCCTATATGGTGATCCGATTGTCGTCCTATGTCGTCCTCTAGAAGCGTACCACATCGTACCACGGTGTTTGAATCAGAATCTGCCGCCTGTGATGGGAGGTGCAGAGTGATTGGCCGGCCATTGGCACCTGGAACATTCCGCGGAATGGAACAGCAAACTTAGTGATCTCAACATATATATATATATTAATATATTATGCATAATAATATTATATAATTTTAATTAATTTTGATATTGTATATATATATTACTGATTGGTTGATAGGGATTTCCCTAATGGTTGGAATTTTCATGTCACTTCCACATCCCTCCGTCTCTGCACTTCCAGGTTTAGGACGGTTCAGTTACTGGCTCACGATCCTGCACAAGTGTTCTACAGCTTTGATGATGTCAATCATCTTTGCAAGCACCTTGCACCTATACACCAGTTCAATATCATTCAATACTGTGGCTCAATATCATTCAAAATCATTCAATCGTCAATGGCCATGTTCATTTCATCTGGGACGCTAAGCCATGAATCGCACGCCATGGCTTGTGTAGACCAAGCACGTGACATCAGAAACAGCTGAACTATGCTCAACCAAGGCGAAAGTGTCCTGAAGAGGGCCTTCTGAAGGTCGCGGCGGCAAAGGAACAGGGGGCCCTGCAGGCAGGTAGCCTGGCGATTCATGCGATTTGCTGATAGATTTTGCGGCCGCCAAAGTTGGAACTTCAAAAAATCAATGCGCAGAAGCAGGAAGAAAGACCTACCAAATTCACTTGCCAATGAACACATTAATTTCAAAAATTGCCAAGAAGCCATTGAGCTGCCCCAAATGTTGATGAAGTTGCCCATTCGTGGTGAGCAGTGAAGATATCTCCTTCCTCACTTGAGTGCACACAGCAACCGATCTCATTCTCCCGAAATTAGCTGAAGTTGTTTGATGTCTTTTGCGGTTCATACCCTTTGCATCCCTTTGTCGTGTCTCACGAGTTTGACTCAGCTGTTCTGCTTCCGCTCTTTTCCTTAGGGCAGCAATCTCGTCCCGGTTGGAGCTTCCAGCCATTTGCAACTACCTCAGGAGTAAGTGGTGGGAGGGTGCTACAAGTCATGGCCAGCTGAACAATGCCAACGCATCTGATTCTAGTGCAGCCTGGCTGCCTGTCAGAAAGTCCAAACTCTGACATGGCAATGGCAGGAGTATCACCAATCAGAAGAATCTGGACTGTCAGAAGACTTCTGCATCTGTACTTTACGCGCCACCCATTCATTACTTTTGTTTTGAATATTTCGTGATGCTGGTACCGTGGATGCTGCCCACCGAAGATTTTAGGCGGCATGAATGTGAGTTTCATTCCTTCTTGTCGAGTGAAGCTATCCCTGCACCAACCCAATCTAACCCACCAGTGAAATTACAACCCTTCTGCTGTTTTTGTCTCTTGGAATCTCTCGGATATCTGAACCCGGGCCCCAGCCTTTGAATTACATGCAGCGGTTCTTTAAAGCACACGACTTGCATGAGCTCAGTGACTGGGTACAGTCAAACGACAAACTCATACCTAACTCATGCCTGGGTCAAAACTGGCTAGTAAATCACCATGGAATCGCTGTTTCAAGAAACTCATGCCTAAGTCATGCCCAAATCTTAAAACACCATGGAATCGCGTATGTATAAGAAGAATGTTTCCACACTTGGGAAAATCAAATGTTCGCAAGAATCCGTCTACAATTGCATTCTACCGTTCATGTTTCTGGGGTTGAGAAATACTTGCCGCTTCGGTCCGCTGACTTTTTTCGCTTTGCTGACTCTTTTCGCTCTGCCATCCGTGATTCACAACAACAAACCTCTCCTATAGGTTTCCCATTTTTGAAACCACGACGTGCCGAACGACGTCCAAACGACGTAGCAAACGACGTCAAAAAATAACAAGAAAGGCTCTCTGCCCACCCGCCTGCGGAACCACATAAGAAACTAAAGCCGACACGAAGACACAACAATGACCCTTCTCACCTCCATCTCAAGCAACACGCTGAAGTGCCACAATGCCGCGTTGAGCACGCAATGAAAAGTGAAAATGGCTTCCGCAGCACACTGGAAAGAAAAAGATAGAAACACCAACTCATCACTACACTCACATCCAGTTTGACTTGGTATGGAAAAGGTTACTCTTGATGCTAAACACAACCTAAACGCAAGATTTATTAGCAATATGGAAAAGGTACTCTTGATGCTAAACACAACCTAAACGCAAGATTTATTAACAATATGGAAAAGGTACCCTTGATGCTAAACACAACCTAAACGCAAGATTTATTAACAAAAACTATTCCAAAGACCAAATCCAACAAAACATTGCAATTCCTATGCGTTTTACTAAAAAGGCACGACTTTTCAAATCAAGTGCTCCCCAGCTATTTACGATGATTTCCAAATTTTAGGCACGACTTTAGCATTCCACTGTAAGACTGACCGAGGCGAACAGTGCTGAATGAGGCGTGCTAACTGAAGCCGACTGAAGCTACCAGCTGCTACCCCGACGTTTCCATTTTGCGACCAGTGATTTTTGCTGCGCTCGGCGCATCTGATTGCTTCTTCTCAGAAGTCTTCGTCGTGCCAAGGTTGACAAGTCAGCACTACAGCAAGACTTCTCTGGGTGTAGCTAGCTTCGGTTCTAAGGCTAGCACAAATCTCGGCCTGGAGCAGGAAAATGCACTTCTTCACCAATTCATAAGAATAATTCGTACGAATTCACATGAATTCACTTATCTCAATTTGAATCAGCCACCAACCTATCAACGTTCGTCGCTCACCTTTTGTTGTCCAATAATAAGCGCCATCCCCGAAACTCATGAACGAGCGGGAAATCAGTGCTGCAACTTCATGCTGAGGTCACAGGGCGCTTGTGAGATTTGTGAGAATGTTGCATGATGTTGCATTTCATTCCATGTTTTTTGCTGACTCAACGTGGGACACACGGCGACATAGGATTCGGAATTCGGGTTTTTCGGGAAATGTTGGCCTTCTGGCGAGGTGATGCATCATGATGATGCAGTTAGTCAAGTGTCACAGCAGCTCACCGAACTCCCCTACTGGCCCTATCTCCATTTCACAAGGGAGTTCAGGTAACCCATAAAGAGTCCTTGGAACAGTTGGCAAAATAACAAAGATCAAGGTTCAGTGAGTACTCTTCAAATTTTGCAATGTAAACTTCAAGCATCCAGTCATCCGCAGCTTGACATAAAGTGAAGATGTGTTGCATGGTCTGCATAGTCTATGTCTACAACATTCTACGACCACATTGGGCCCAACCCCCCACCAAAAAAAAACCTGGAGCCAAGAGTCCACTGACATTGGTGGTGCCTGGCTTGGGACGAAACTTCTCGATGGCTTCGCGCTGCACCTCTGGCCCCTGGCAAAAAAAAAGGCCATGGATGGTCTGGATGGCCATGGATTACTACCTGCTGAATTTGCAGAAGATTGCCCAAGGCCATGCCTCACGACCCAACATGACCCAACTATCTGCCCATCAAATGCCTTCTACCGTCTTAACATGTCTTAAGATGTCTGAAGTCTGCTGCTCACTCAAAGGCGAGTCCAGCCAGTATGGTAAACAAAAGCAGAGTGCAGTCCTGCCTGAGATGCCAGGTAATCTACGCACTTGCTATCAAGCTGCCACTGATTGCAGAAATCCATCACCTCCTGGATATGACAGAAATACTGTACTTAAATATTTGACGTTCCAGTCAACGTAGTTGAGAAACTTCAAGGATTTGAGGCGAGGGAAAACCTAGTATGTTTTTTTTGTTTTCGAAGGGTGATGCTGCTAGTTCTGCTTGTGCCTTAGTGGATCGAATATAGTGGAGGCATGCTCCACTAATTACCAAATATGCTCAAATCATCTGTGAATGGGAGGGCAACCCTGAATCAGCTGTGAAGAAAGAATCAAGATCTGCAACCCGTTGGGTACCAGCCTTGCTCACGACCGCACCGCTGTTTGCTGCACAGCCGCCGGCGCAGGCACCGCAGCTCCCACAGCCCGGGCAAGCGGCGCAGCCACCACAGCCACAGGCGCAAGGGCAGCCACAAGCGCCGCAGCAGCCACCGCAGCCACCACAGCCACCACAACCGCAGCCGCAACCGCCACATCCACAGCCACAGCCACCACAACCACAGCCACCACAGCCACAGCCACAGCTGCAACCAGCACAGCCGCCACAGCCACAGCAGCCGCAGCCGCCACAGCCGCCACAGCCGCCATACGCGGGACAGCCACCACAGCCCATCGCCATCCCGGGCTGCATGCCTAGCATCGACACCACTATTTTGAACTGCGAGTCACCAAATGTCACCAAACTATCCAAACTCAAAGCAATGAGTCCATTTAGTCCAAATGGACTCGTGGATAGCAATCATCATTTCGCCATGCCTACGCCACCTCCAATGGTTCCACCAAACACAGACATCTGCTGCGACCTGCAGGAAACAAGACTCTCAACAATGATTGAATCAGGAGCAATTATGAGAATAAAGACATCGCACCGAAATACATTGAGCAACTTAGGAGCAAAATGATGTAAGAAGTCACTAGGCTTAGAAAAACACAGAAAGCTTTTGACTATCCCAAAAGTCCTTGAATATCATCCATACCTGGCCTGAAGTCCTGCATGCCCAATTGGTTGAAGGAAGACATCCCTCCCATGCCAGACATGCCAATCGCTGGCGTATTTGCTGGAGCTCCATAGGGTGCCACTCGAGCAGAACCTTTGAAGCCTTTGCCATCTTTGCCATCTTTTCCTTTGAAGCCTTGCAGGGTTGGCCACTGGATTCAAACAGGCTTGACTCTGTTGCGCATGAATTGGCAGGTATAGAGTTGCCATCAGGCACTCAACCGTCTTCAATACTGCGAGATGTAATCCCGCAGGTGTCTCAAATGGTGATGATGATGGTGGTGATGACACGTGATGACACGTGATGACACGTGATGACACGTGATGACACGTGATGACACGTGATGACACGTGATGACACGTGATGACACGTGATGACACGTGATGACTACATCAAATTTCACAAACATCGCTCACAGACCATCACTTGCGTATAATGTGGTCAATTCTTGGGCGTGGCCCAAGTCTGGCCTCCCTTGCCCTTTCCGCTATGTGCGTTTGAAACCTGGCTGCCACAGTGCCACTAGACTCGACAAATTCATCCTGCTGTGGGACCAAACTGGTGCACAGATCAATGGTTTACTTCATCATCCTTGGAAAAGATCTCCTCTCTCAAAAGCGATGAATATATGTTGTGATATGTTGTGATATGTTGTGATATGTTGTGATATGTTGTGATATGTTGTGATATGTTGTGATATATTGTGATATGTTGTAATATGTTGTGATATGATGTGATATGTTGTGATATGTTGCAATATGTTATGATATGTTCTGATATGTTGTGATATGTTGTGATATGTTGTGATATCTTGTGATATGTTGTGATATGTTGTGATATGTTGTGATATGTTGTGATATCTTGTGATATCTTGTGATATCGAGTGACTTTGCTGCGTGATTCTTGCGTCCAAGACACGGATCTCAGAAAAGAAAGGAAGAGGCTGCGGACATTTTCCGTCTCTGGCTTTGGCTGGAAGCTGGACATCACATCCCTTGCCTCAGCAAAGATTTGTGGCCTGGGAACAACTTTGTGGAACAGGTTTGGAGAACAATTTTGGGGAGCAGGAGCAACTTTGAGGAGCAACTTTGCAAGGCAGCTTTGAATAGCAATTTTGAATGGGGAGCAATTTTGGGGAGGAGCTTTAGAACCGTAACTTTGGGGAGTAGCTTTTGGCAACAACTTTGGGGAGCAGCTTTCGGGAGCTGCTTTGGAGAATAATTTTGGGCAACCGTTTTTGGGATCAGAATTGCAACGCGTGGCAGGCGTGGTACTGATGGCACGGGGCTGGCTCTGGTGGCGCACCGGGCTCCCAAATGACGCCGTGGACGCCGCGGCTTTTTGCGTGGCAGGCGTGGCACTTGGTGACATCCACTTTCACTTTGTATGGCAGGCGTGGCACTTGGTGATATCGACTATCATTTTGCATGGCAGGTATGGCACTGATGGCATTGGGTTGGCTCTGGTGGCGCTCAGAGTGGATGGATGTTGCATATCTTGCGGCTGAGGCTGCAACAACCGATGGTGACTGCTGCTTGAGCTGTATCATGCATTCTTCGTCCAGACCAAACTTTTCGATAAACCTCACTCCAAGTATGTATGAGTATAACTCACCACAGCTTTTTCACATCCCAACGGTCCTGGCTAGCTGTACACATGGATGTTTCTATTGAGACCTGATTCCATTGGAAGCTAGAACTCTGAATTTTCAAAAAGTGTCATGCACTGCTTCTCAGTGCAACCAAAGACACGCCACGATATCTGACTCGATATTCTCCAAGAGTGCAGCACCTTGCTGTGTGGCTTAACACCCCGCTGCATGCCATCCACATTGCGATGGGAAGCACCACTGCTCCAAGTACTGTATCCTTTAGATCCCTTTCTGTTGTAATATAATGTGTATATATATATACATGTATACATACAAATGTATCTGTGTGTGTATGCGTGCAACTGTGTATAAGTGCAAGTATGTATGTATGTAATGTAATGTAATGCAATGCAATGCAATGCAATGCAATGCAATGCAATGCAATGCAATGCAATGCAATGCATGTATTATGTATGTATAATATGATTTATTATGTAACTATATATATATGTAGATGCATATGCTCATACACACATTATACATTGTCATAATGTCATATTGTCTGGCCTTATCTTTGCCGAAGCCGCCACAAGCAGCTGCATGGTGATCCCTTTCAGATCTTTCAGAAAAGCTGCCGCCTTTGCCGCAGCCAGCAGGTGAAATGCCAGAAACCGACTTCAAGTAGCCGAAGAAGAGGCTCCTGGCAGATTGAAAGTCTGAAACCTGCACAACGATGACGACTTGCTACGGGGCGGCTTGCCCTACTTGATCTACAAGCAAGTCTACATAACTCTTAGTTTTGCAGTAAGTCAGCACAAAAGCTCCTGATGTCTCTGGTATCCGGCTTTGGCTTGAAGCCTGCCATCACATCTACGATCACCTGCAGCATGCAGAATTTCTCCGAAATTTTCAACATGTGACAAACAACAAACATGCTGTCATTGGTATTGAGTATGAAGGTTTTGCATCGCTTCCGCGCGGGCCTTTTTCCGACCATCCACTCAGAAATCTTTACATTGAGAATGCTTGCTGTGATCAGCCCAGAGCACAAAAATGTGTCAG